GAGAGAGAGAGAGAGAGAGAGCGCGCGCAAGCGAGAGAACGACACAAATATACTATCTAGGCTCCGGTTGTATAAGACTCGTCTCATGTCTTTAAGCAAACCGTGTTTGCGTCTAGTTTACCCATGATCGGCAGGCGCCATCTCATGAAGACGAAGGGAACGTATAGCAGCAGACCGGCGAGGATGAAGAGCATCGAGTAAATGTACTCCGGTTTAGGCGTCTCCACAATCGGCCCGATGACCAGGTAGGCAGAGATAATGCTCATAACGATGGGTATAGGCAGTGGTACCTTCAAGAAGATACACAATTAAGTCAATTAAGTACGGCAGCTAAACGCAATTAGTGTGTTATATAAAGTGTACATGAGAGCATAAGTGTGTGTGTGCGTGTGCGTGTGTGTGTGTGTGTGTGTGTGTGCGTGCGTGCGTGCGTATGTATGTATGCACATATATACACATATATATTTATTTGTATTCCTCTGTGCATATTTGCGTGCGTGCACAACAATGCCTAACACCTGAACGTAACAGCGACAGCATAGGCGTAATATTGAACCGTAAACATATCCATACTATATATATATATATATATATATACACATTCATGTATAGCTGACATGTCAGTCACATTTTCACACGACCGAACAAGACATGAATACACATGTACCTTAAAAGGTCGTTCCATGTTGGGCCGTGTCCATCGCATCACGATGACAGATAGCATGGCGAACCAGTAGAAGACTCAACTTCGTAAAGCTGAAGACTTTTATCAACGTTCTATGTTTGTCGGAATGACCATTCAGGATAGCGATCGTACACTGTGGGTTAACGCACGATGTTGAATACAATTGCTAGGCTCAACGGGAGAGAGGGAGAAAAGAAAAAATTTGGAAAGAAAATATGGAAAATGGATGAAAAAGAGAGAATAGAGAGCGATAATTAATACGTGTGTGTGTCGTGTGTGTGTGTTGTGTGTGGTGTGTGTGTGTGTGTTTGTGTGTGTGTGGTGTGTGTGTGTGTGTGTGCTGTGTGTGTGTGTGTGTGTGTGTGTGTGTGTGGTGGTGTGTGTGTGTGTGTGTGCGTGCGTGTCGTGTGTGTGTGTGCTTGTGTGGTGGTGTGTGTGTGTGGTTTGTGTGTGTGTGTGTGGTGGTGTGTGTGTGTGTTGTGTGTGTGTGTGTGTGTGTGTACACGAGACAAAAAGAAAAGGAGAGGCGAGAGACCAGAAAGGAAAGTACGAAAAAAAGAAAGCAAAGAAGGGCGACAAGAAAGAGAGAACGATGAGATAAGGAGCCAACGACAGAAAACAGGAAAGGATCCAGAGAAGAAATACAGGGCACGAGTTATAGATGCAGAGAGATGCCAATTTGTTTCGCAGAGAAAAACGCCTGGAAAGAGACCACGACGACATTGGCCCCCCCCGCACAAATAAGAAAAAAACCGCGGGGTGTTTCCCCCGTTATTTTCGATTAGCTGCATCCGCTGACCGAAAGCCGATGTCTGCTCCGAGAGAGCAGGACGAGACGAGAGAGAGAGAGAGAGATAGATATCGATTAAGCAGTAGGACTATAGATAGATAGACTAGATAGATAGGATTCAATAAGATACGATAGATAGCTAGATAGATAGATAATTGCTAGATACTAGATAGATTAGAGAGATACGGAGATAGATAGCGTTACCTGAGCTAGCTAGCTAGCTAGATAGATAGATAGATATTGTTAGTCTGTGTCGTTACTCACGTTTAGTATGATCGCAGGCGCCGGTGTGTAGCGCTTCGCGTGCACGTACGACAGCACGCGCGGCATGTGTCTCTCTCGTGCGTGTCCATCGCATCACGATGACAGATAGCATGGCGAACCAGTAGAAGACCCACTTCGTAAAGCTGAAGACGTTTATCAACGTTCCTATGTTTGTCGGAATGACCATCAAGATAGCGATCGTACACTGCGAGTTTAACGCACGATGTTGACTACATTGCTAGGCTCAGAACGGGAGAGAGGGAGAAAATGAAAAATTTGGAAAGAAATATGTGTGTGTGTGTGTGTGTGTGTGTGTGTGTGTGTGTGTGTGTGTGTGTGTGTGTGTGTGTGTGTGTGTGTGTGT